TGGTTGCCGCCACACACGCTTGACACCATCTGAACCAAATAAGTTTATCTTGGTCTCATCAGACCACAGGACATGGTTCCAGTAATCCATGTCCTTAGTCTGCTTGTCTTCAGCAAACTGTTTGCGGGCTTTCTTGTGCATCATCTGTAGAAGAGACTTCCTTCTGGGATGATAGCCATGCAGACCAATTTGATGCAGTGTGTGGCGTATGGTCTGAGCACTGACAGGTTGACCCCCCACCTCTTCAAACTCTGCAATGCTGGCAGTACTCATATGTCTAATTCCCAAACACAACCTCTGGATATGACGCTGAGCACGTGCACTCAACTTCTTTGGTCGACCATGGCGAGACCTGTTCTGAGTGGAACCTGTCCTGTTAAACCGCTGTATGGTCTTGGCCACCGTGCTGCAGCTCAGTTTCAGGGTCTTGGCAATCTTCTTATAGCCTACGCCATCTTTATGTAGAGCAACAATTCTTTTTTTCAGATCTTCAGAGAGTTCTTTGCCATGAGGTGCCATGTTGAACTTCCAGTGACCAGTATGAGAGAGTGAGAGCGATAACACCAAATTTAACACACCTGCTCCCCATTCACACCTGAGACCTTGTAACACTAATGAGTCACATGACACCGGGGAGAGAAAATGGCTAATTGGGCCCAATTTGGACATTTTCACTTAGGGATGTACTCACTTTTGTGGCCAGCGGTTTAGACATTAATGGCTGTGTGTTGAGTTATTTTGAGGTGCCAGCAAATTTGCACTGTTATACAAGCTGTACACTCAGTACTTTACATTGTAGCAAAGTGTCATTTCTTCAGTGTTGTCACATGAAAAGATATAATAAAATATTTACAAAAATGTGAGGGGTGTACTCACTTCTGTGAGATACTGTTTTTGTTTTCTTGTTAAGGGAAACAGTGATCTCTTTAAAACTTATATATATATTATGAGTAAACCATATGTTGTTGTTGTTGCTGAGTAAAAACAATGAATATAAAAATTTCTTTGTTGAAATGTGCCTCAAAATATAAAATATTTTGTTTTAAACTATAAAATTTTTACATATTATTTACATGCATATGTTGTTATTATTATTATTATTATTATAGACGAAATTAATATATTGCATATATATTTATTTAACTTGAGTATCTGCTTTTGATTGCACTTTGAGCATTGTTTGTAATGCACCTTGGATTGAATTTACACAGTAATGCAAGTTGACACCTGACACTTTTTAGGCTGACATCTGACTCAGATTACAGACCTCTCTCTAAAGAGTGTGTGCTCCTGTCGTCCTGTGACTTTGAGATGTGTATGTTTTATGTGTCTCTATCGCCATACGTTAACGTGCACGCATGCACACAGATGCAGACCGAGCACAGAAACATGGAATGGACGAGTTCATCTCCGCTAACCCCTGCAATTTTGACCACTCTTCGCTGTTTGAGATGGTTCAGCGGTTGACACTGGATCACAGGCTCAACGACTCATACTCCTGCTTGGTAACCCAGCTTTCAATTCAGTTTTATTCAGTTAGGGCTATAGCTGTCCTATTTATATTATCATGTATAATCACATTTGCACTACTGAAACTGCACTTTTGTGTCTGATTGTGCTCCTCAGGGTTGGTTCAGTCCAGGTCAGGTGTTTGTATTTGATGAGTACTGCGCCAGGTACGGAGTGCGAGGGTGTCACAGGCACCTGTGTTACCTGAATGACCTGCTGGAGAGGGCAGAGAAAGGGTCCATGATCGACCCCACACTACTGCACTACAGCTACGCCTTCTGTGCCTCCCACGTGCACGGCAACAGGTACCGCTGATCTCACACTCTTTATCTCTTTCTCACTCTGTCTCTTTAACACCCACTTCATTTCATTCTCATTTGTAACCACATTAATTCTCCAATCATTTATCTCTCATGTTTTCTCTTTGTCTTTCATCCTACTCTCACTTGAAGTTCTGTCTTTTCTCCTCCCACTAAAATCACTCCATCCCTCTTCACTGTCCTGCCTTTTTATCTCTCCATACATCCACTTTCCACCCATGGGCAGAAACAGAGGTAAAGTAAGAGGACAAACTCTTGTTTGGCAGCCAAAGGACTCATTCTCCTGTGTTTCATAGAGACCCCATTCTTTCTCCTGAAAGCTTTGTGGTTGGTCAAAAGTAATAATGCTTCTCTCCCAGAATCCAACAGTAGTTTCACTGCTTTTACAAGAAGCTCAAGTTGCCTCATTACCTGGTTTGCAGGAGTCCTCAAACTCTGTAACTACTCTTTAAACAAGCTTCCGTTTTGCTGTTATTTTGAGTGTTTTCAGTGTTTTTTCAAGTATATTTATTTGAGATATACATATTATTTATTTAAAATTAATCATTTTAAATAAAAAAATTATATAATGTGTGTAAGTTTATATTAAAATATGCATTTAAATGTTGTATGTAATTATTACATATTTATTAAACATTTTAAAAATTATACACAAATAATTTGAAAGAATGAATGAATTAACAAACAACCAAGCAAACAAACTTTGTATAGTCACGATTTTGTACATTTTAAAAGATTAGTCCTGATTCCTTTAGCAAGTGGCTAATTTCTAAACAGAATATAATGGACTACTCTGACCCCTATGCACTTCTTTCTCACCCTATACTTTTATTGTATTCTTGTGTAATATTCAAATTTCTTATTTCTGAATCTTTTTCATGTCTTTTCGTCTTACTTTTGTCTGAATCTTTCATTTTATTCTCATGGTTATTATTACTTGCATGGTTTATATTATTTCTCTTCTTCTTTTATTTCTCACTTACCCTCACACCATCTTCTGATAACCTTTGTGAATGTGCACCTTTGTGAATGCATGCATGTGTGTGTGTGTGTGGGATACGAAGCCAAAGACTGAATGAGCTACTAAAATGGCCCATGTCAGAGACCGAGCTGCTTAGTTCTCTGTTTCCCTCCCCCCCTGAGCCCTTGACCCCCTCTAAAAAAGAGAACAAAATCATGGAGGTCTGGAGAAAAAGAGAGTCTAAGTCGCAGGTGCTCACAGGCCCCAGAAGGTGAGAATGTTAATGCAACCTCCTCTTTTTGGTGTGGATTAGCGTCCCGCCCTTAACCTATGAAACTGGGGGATGTACATTAGGGAAGACGGCAATTAAGTTGGATTTCTTCTTTCTTCTGTGTGAGAGATTACTCGTTCCATTGTGTGTAATTGTAGTCATTTATTATATGTGAACGTGCAAAGTAGCAATTTTATACACATTCTGACCTTTTTTAATTATATTTTAATGAAATATATATAATTTTCTTTTTTATATTTGTACTGTTATTGTATATGATGAATTTTTCAATATATTATTTTATAACATTTCAGAATTGTTTTAATATTGAATCACCACCTAGGAATTATTTTCTAAGAAAACGACTTAAAATATTTTCAGTCTGGTCTCAGACGTTTGGACACCACTTTATGTGTGAATGTGTATGGGGAAGTCGTGGCCTAATGGTTAGAGAGTCGGATTCATAACCCAAAGGTTGTGGGTTTGAGTCTCGAACCGGCAGGGATTGTAGGTGGGGGGAGTGAATGTACAGCGCTCTCTCCCACCTTCAATACCATGACTGAGGTGCCCTTGAGCAAGGCACCGAACCCCCAACTGCTCCCCGGGCGCCGCAGCATAAATGGCTGCCCACTGCTCCGGGTGTGTGTTCACGGTGTGTGTGTGTTCACTGCTGTGTGTGTGCGCACTTTGGATGGGTAAATGCAGAGCACTAATTCCGAGTATGGGTCACCATACTTGGCCACATGTCACATCACTTTTCACTTTCTATCTGTGTGAGGAAGAGAGAGAAAAGTGAGGGTGAGGCAGGGAAACAGAAAGTGATAGACATGTGTCGAACCAGTGAGAAACATGCAGGGTAAAGAGAGAGAGATGAGGGACACTATGGATGGTGCCTTAAGGTCATGGCTGACAGGATGACAGGTCATCGCTCTGTGTCTCCATCTCTCTTTCCAAACTGTCCAAGGCCTCACTCCAGCCTGTCTACTTGTGCCAAAACCTCACGTCCAGCCAACCACGCTCTTTATAACTGACATGGCCCTCAACCTGAACCTCTTGGCATTGGACTTGTATACTGATATATATTTAAAGCCAAATAATCTACAAGTGTTACAGATAGTGACTGTGGATCTCTAATGTTGTTTGACATCATACTACTGTGCCATTACCATATCTGGATAGCCATATTAGTCTCATAATACACTATTATAAATATTCATGATGCCGTGTAGTGTTACAAAAAGTGGAATGGCATAAATGTCATGGTACATGTGCAAAAAACATGTTTTTTGGACATTGGAATCTGTTTTTGTTTTTGTAGTTTTGTTTAATTTTTGTGTGTTGTTTTGGTTTTAGTTTTATGTGTTTTTTTGTGTTTAGTTTTTTAGGTTGTGTGTTTTTGTTAAGTTTTGTTTTTAGTTTTTTTGTGTTTTGTTTGGCTTTAGTAGTTGTGTTTTGTTTTTCATTAGTTTTGCTTTGTTTTTATTTAGTTTTTTGTTGTGTTTAGTTTTCCTTTTTTTGTTTTCTTTTTTTGTAGTGTGTTTTGTTTTTCTTTAGTTTTTCTTTTTTTGTGTTTGTTTTTCTTTAGTTTTGCTTTGTTGTGTGTTTTGTTTTTCTTTAGTTTTGCTTTGTTTTCGTTTTATTTTTTGTTGTGTGCTTTGTTTTTTGTTGTGTGTTTTGTTTTTCTTCAGTTTTTCTGACACGCAGAGAGAAAGGATTTTTTTCTGCTGGTCCGTCTTTTATCCATCAGTTTTGTTGTGACACATAGCTAGAACTGAAACACACTCACAGCCGACGTATGTCACCTGCACGCAGTTTAAAACACAAACACGCACACTCTTATGCAGAATGTGACTAAAGGGCCAGGCTCCTTATCGTTTGTGACATGGTAGATGGAAAAGAGGGCTGTGAGCAGAGTGTATGTGACAGTGGAGGCGCGGGTCGTCGTGACAGCGGTTTGAGGAGCAGGAGACATGACACGCTCCTCGTCAGTCCGCTCCCCATGTCAGCCCAGCGCACGCTGAAGGACAGCGGGGAAAAGCAAAGGAGGAGGGGCAGGGATTTCAGGGGGGACCACCACGGCTGTCACACCAGACGGGGTCCATCGCTTGGTGGGGGTTTTCAGGGGGAGGTTGGCAACCGGGTCACCCCTTCTTGTTCACAAAAATACCTTAAAAGCTTCCAGTGTTATACACGTCAGCTAGATGTGAGGGATAGTGAGAGGTGTAGATGTCTAGCATGATGGTAAAATCGATTAGGTTTGACAATTTAGCATCAGTTGCATGGATATCAGCATCTCAAAATAAGTATTTAAAATTTCTGTGTGCTTATAAAACAAGAAATGATAATGGGCATCATGGTAATTTGGCTAATAAGCTTAGGAGTGCCACTAGACATATCAGGTGAACTGTTTCCCACAGCCTCCCTCTTTCTGTTATAGAGTCACAATAAGAAACCTGTGAGTGTGTATGTGGTGAGAGGTTGAACTCCTCAGTGCTAGTAGCAGGGGGCTGTGGTAATTTGTAGTGTCTTTGTATTGCGGAAGACTCTTTATTTGACCATGGACAGGGAGGGGGGAGTTTAGGCCCTTCCAAAAAGCCTTGCCTGAGGAGGGGATGACACACACACACACACACACACAAACTCACATTTAGACATACACACTAGGAATTGCACCCGCTCACAATGCACAGCGCAGTTGCACATATTGTTGAAAGAGTCTGGGCAGATATCACTAGAAAATGTATGCAAATGTCTCTTTTAAATCTTTTTTCCTGTGGTCGACAGAAATGTCACATAAATTGCACCAGGCAAGTAGCAATAACTATGACTTAATTTACATGAGGTTTTTGCTCACAAATACTTGCAAAAGTGAATTTACCCCAGAGCATTTACAGGTATGAACATGTATGAATATGTAAATACACTCAAGTAAAGAGCTGGGGCTCTTTCAGAAGATAAAAGTAGTGTCATATTCTCACTTTTTTTTTTATCCTCTTTCTCTTTAATATATGTGGTTAATTAAAAAGTTGAATTTGTTGTTTGTCTGAATCGCTCATTAACACATACCTTTTAAAGAGGATGAATAGAAAAGTATTTATAGTGCTTGTATAAAAGTCATGCGTCTTGCCTGTTTTGGGACCCTGTGTTTGTATCTGTGACCCTTGTTACCCTAATGAGACAAGCAGTTGCATTCATTTGTGCGTGTTTCGCCTCAGGCCTGATGGAATCGGTACGGTCACAGTAGAAGAGAAGGAACAGTTCGAGGAGATCAAAGAACGACTGCGCGTACTACTCGAAAACCAGATCACACACTTCAGGTACATCACTGGCAGTCTATATCACATATACCACCTTATTAACAGCTAGGGATAATAAATTTAAATGAGAATGTATAATGTCTCAATGTTTTAAACACTTTTAAACACTTTTAAAATTTTCTCTCTGAAGGTATTGCTTTCCATTTGGACGCCCAGAAGGAGCCTTAAAAGCTACGCTGTCACTGCTTGAGAGGGTACTATTTTCCCACACACTTTCCCACACAATTTTTTTTTTGCATAATTTTATGATATAGTCAAACCAAATTGTATTCAGACACCTTCAACATTTCTCATATTATCACAGTTTATTCGCTATCGTTTAGAAAATGGTAATAAAATATGACAAGAACTCAAGTTAAACTGTGTCAGAACATATTCATCTTGATAATGTCAGATAACCTTGATAGAAAGGTATGGAATAAATTAGGTTGAATAGCTGTCAGCTGTCAGCTGTTAAATTTAAGTACACAATAGATAACAATTGTCTCTTTGTCAAAGAGACAAAGCTCATTCTGATTCTGATAATACCAATTTAGGTAAACCGATTACCAAGCAATGCTTAATTTTGTTCAGTCTGTGGTGTAAAGAGGTCGCATTAGCAATTAAAGAAAAAACACTTAAGCAAAACATGGTCAGGTCAAAGTGTCTGAATAATTTTTTGGTCCCAAATTTGTATCCGTTTTACTGGTAGTCCACTGTATGAATTTTTGGGTGTAATATATCACAGTTTACTTTATTTTGCTATTCTCACTTTACATAAATGAACTATAGTGTCCTGCACCCACTAGTAAAAAATATAAAAAATTAAATCTGGTGTCTGAATAATCTTTGGTTTGACTGTACATATATATTATGTATGTATGCACGCGTGTGTGTGTGTGTGTGTCTGTGTGTGTGTGTGTGTGTGTGTGTGTGTATGTCATGAAAAAGCATATGACACAAAGTAAAAAAGACCTACAAGCTAAAGTAAATATGCATCTAATTTCTAGTTTGGTTTTGCAGGTCTTAATGAAGGACATTGTGACACCCGCACCTCAAGACGAGGTGAAGACAGTGATCCGTAAATGTCTGGAGCAGGCAGCTTTAGTGAACTACCAGCGTCTCTCAGAATACGCCAAGGTGGAAGGTAGGAGGCACATAAACCAATTTTGCAGAGTTTCTTCTCTCTGCTCTGTTATCAGTAATATAGCACTTGACATATTCCTCTCTTAGAAACAGTGCTTAACAACAGTGATGCTCAACCAACCAGTATTCCATGGAGGCAATGCTGAAATGCCACTGTTGATTTTTTTTTCTTCATAAAAGGAATGCTTACAATGGAGCAATAATTAACTGTTGGTGTGTGTAATGGCTTTTCATGTTGTCTTATCTCTACTAGTCTTAGACACTTGAGATAATTGTCCTGTAGTATGTACCCAGATAGTAATTTTATATATGTATATAATTTATTTATAATATTAATGATAATAATGTTTTTTTAATAGGTCTTATTGGTCCAGGTTTGTTTTAGCTCTTTCTAGCTGATTATAGAGTAAAAATGCATTCAATTCCCCCTCTCAAACCCTGGCCTCAGTGCCATATTGTTCTGCTCAGTGGTTTCTTGCTGCCCTCTGTGGATGGTTGCATCTTTCCTGTGGTTTAGCTTTTAGGGCTAGAAGTACTGTACAGCAACAAATACACTTTTCCTTTCCAGCTCTTCATCACCTTTCCAGCCCCCCTGCTTCATATGTTTATTGCAGAATTGCTGCCTTTTTACTAGCTTTCTTTGTGTCTTTTTTCCTCTTTCTCCTTCTATCTCTTTATCTCTCTCTGCTCCCTCCCTCTGCGCTTTCCTCTTGTTTATTGGCTTTTCTTCTTATTTGGAGCCCTCTCTTGTTGAGCCAGTTTGAGAAGCCAATATACAGTGCAAAGCTGGATTGCCCACTCAAGCAACACACATCTGTGTGTTGCAAGTGAGACGGTTTCTTTCATAGACATGGACAGCTAAACACACAGGTGGTTTTTGATGTCAAATAATGGCCATGTTTACAGGGTTTTTATTTTGTCTGGAATGTTTTTTTTTTTTAATATATATTTCCATTTCTAAATAATTTTCAATGACTGTCCATGTTCATGAAGAAATATGACTGGGCACTGCAGATACTGAAGGAGAAGCCCTTAGTATCTGTTTGCCAAATGATGTTGATGTTGTTCCCTATTGATTGCTGACCACTAAACTGAATGTGACTTTTGTACTAACCCAAACTAACCAATAGCTTGCAACACACTCACAAGTCTTTCCAGAGACTAAGATGTTCAGCTGGATTCAAAGCAAGGCTAATGGTGGAAATCAACAGAATAGCTAAAAACTGCAAGTCTGAAGTGACTAAACCAAAAGTTTTTTTTTTTCACCAAAACTATTTACAGTGAGTCCAGTGCAATGTTTGTCATTCTGAAAATAGTTCATGCACTATCCATCAAAGGTTTGGAATAAATGTTTTTGAAACAATTCTCTTATAAAAAAAAGAAAATAAATTAATACTTTTGTAAGGACACATAAAACTGTTTAAAAGTAACAGTAAAGACATTTAAAATGTTACAAAAGATTTCTATTTCAAGAAAATGCTGTTCATTTGAACATTTCATGAAAAATCATAAACAAATATCATGGTTTTCACAAAAATATTGAGCAGAAAAAACGGTTTTCAACACTGAAAATAATAAGAACCATTATTAATAATTGAGCTGATCATTATTCTCTGTCAGAGAATAATTAATAATCAGAACATTATAATTGATTTCTGAAGGATCATGTGACACCGAAGACTGGAAAAATGGCTCAGCTTCGCCATCACATGAATAAATTGCATTTTAAAATATATTGTAATAGAAAACAGGCATTTTAAATGAATTATTGTACAATATTACTGTTTTTACAGTATATTTGATCAAAATCATAAATGGAGCCTTGCTGAGCATAAGCAACTTCTTTCAAAAACTTTTTTTAAAACAATTTCAAAAACAATTTTAATTATTCCAAACTTTTGACTGGAAGTCTATATTTGAATAAAAATGAATGACCTTCCTTCCAAATAAACAATAGTGAAAAATTGTTACAATAATAGGTCCCACTTTATATTAAGTGGTCTTAACTACTATGTACTTACACCAAAAAGAAGTACAATGGATTTATTGTGTTCATATTGTTTTGCAGATGACTTTTGCTGCTATTGAGGTGGGATACTGGTAAAGTTAGGGACAGGTTTGGTGGTATGGGTATGTTTAATGGTTGGTTAAGATGTAAGGGATGGGTTAACATTGTAATTATAAATGTAATTGCATAAATAAATTAATTACATATCTAATTACATGCAGGTATTTTTTTTTAAATATAAGTACAATGTAATAACATGTATGTACACAATAAGTGCATTGTATCAAATGATTAATTTAAATGTAAGTACATAGTAGTTAAGGGCACCTAGTATTAAGTGGGATCCAATAATATGTTTAAGACTTGAGTGGACTGGAGTTTATAGAGTTTTAAATCTTTGTGCGTTTCATAGAGCTTTAAGTCTTCATGCATACTGACCTACAGATCATATCAGGACTGATTGATCACTAATAATTTTGAGATGCAGTAGATCAGTTACTAGGTGTTTTGCCAACCCTGCCAGGCAACTTTCCATGCCACTAAATTTGGTCAAAAGCCCCTTATGGCACATGCAGCCGTTGTGCTCTCTCTCTTTCTCCTCTGACCCCTTGCTCTTGCATGCCCTGATCCTCTTTTATAGGGAAAAAGAGAGAAATGTATGAGCATCCTGTCTTCTGTTTGGCGTCACAAGTGATGGATTTAACTATTCGTGAGTACCCTGCTCATCTGGAGCCACTCCATCACTTTCGCCACCCCTCTTTTTCTTTTCTTTTCTCGTTTTTTCGTTCTCGAGCACTTTCACAAACAGTTATTCCCTCATGCCCTGACCGGCACCATCCTCTTCTCTTGCTTGCAGTCTGCTTGCCTTTTTCTTTGAGTTTGTCACTTGCATCTTAGGTTGAGTGATTCTGCCACAGGTCTTCCTGTCGCTTTGATCAGACCATCCCGTCCAACTGAGTCAGTGTGGCAGCTGTTCTTTCTGTTTTCTGCTTATTCTTTCTGTTTGTAACCTGAATGCATTTTTACTTTGCTTTTGTGTAAGTCACCCCTCCCCACCTTTGTCTGTTTATCGATGTGTCCCAGATTTACAGTACTGGTCAGGTACAGAGTGAACAAAAATAATTGACATTATCTCCCAACCCAGGAACAAAACAGGGATTCTGACGTGGTTTTCAGACACATTGTGTTTCTAATCGTTTTTTTTTTTTTTGTCTGTAATCCACTCCAACAGCTTATCACTGTGCGTCTTCACTGTTTTTCTGTCTGTGATTTGGTTTATTGTTCCTGTCTTGGGTCAAACTTGGTTTCAGACATGTTTCTGGTCTAAAATTGTAAAAGCAGGGGTGTAAAGTACTTGAGTAATTGTACTTTATTACTACACAGGAATTTCTGCTTTACTAAAGTACTGTACATATACTGAGGGAAAAAATGCTTTATACTCTGAATATCTAAACAAAATAGTAAAAAGTAGAAAGTCTGGTCACAGGTTTGTGTGGTTTAAATTTTTGTGCAGCTTAATATTTTTTCTTGGTCCAGTTTTTCTGCATTTGCTTGTATAGAAAGTTCAAAAATTCTTTATTTTCACTTTTGATAAATGCATCTTTGTTGGATAAAATTTTAATTGTTTAATTTAATTTAAAAACAGCCAACAGAATAAATTTGTAATGTGGTTATTCTTGTTTTTGAAGAGATCAGCAGTCACCACAAAATGGCCTTTCAAGCAGTTAATAATTGTTTATTAATGAATTTAGTTAGCTAGTGGTCACTGTGCTAAATTTAAAGCAATTTTAATATTTTTTTTTACTAAACTCTAATAAATTGTGGAAGCCTTTTTATTTTCACTCAAGTATATTTTGCTTTTGATGCTGTATTTTTACACCCCTGTTAAAAAAAGGTTTGTTTTTCAACCTAAAACAACCACTCCGGTAGAGTTTCTTTCACACAGTCTCTCTTGGAGTGATAGAGTGGATCACGGGTCTTTCACTGTTTAGAAGCCCTTTCCTTGAACGCCTCTTTCTTTCTTCTTCTGTCCTTCTCTTTCTACTTCCCGATCAGATCTCACATCTGAAACAAAATGAAAGCTTATCCCTTCTCCCTTTTCTCTTTCCCCTTCTTTCTCCCTTCCCTCTTCCTTTCTTTTTCTCTTTCTTTCTTTTTAGTAGAGAAATCTCAGAGGGATCAGAAGGATGCAGGTGACATCTTTTGTCTGACTTACTATTAAATTCATTTTAAAACAGCCCCTCACCCTCCCCGAGCTCTAAACATAACCAGCTCACAGCATTCACATGGCAAGTTAAGCAGATGTAAAGGGAACCATGGGAATGTTGGGACAACGTTATGAAAATGTCTCCTACACTTTGCACTCTCCTAAACATTGCATCTTAATGTAGATGCATTTTCCATGAGCTGGTAAGCGCTTTATAAATACATTACCAGTCTATGGAACATGCAGAGTGAGTATTTCTTTAATTCTTAAACTTCCAAAAATCGAAATAAATAAATAATAATAATTTGCCTATGTTAATTACAATTAAAGTGATACTCTCTCTGCACCAAGTGCGTGATTAAAGTAACACTTTACTATAAGATTCAATTCTTTATCATTAGTTAATGCATTAGATATCATCAACTTGCAATGCATACTTTTTTTTACAGCATTTATTAATCTAGGTTAGATTATTACATTTATTATATATTAAAAATATATATTGTATATAAATATACTACTACACGATACACGTTTCATTATTCATGTTTGATCACAGAACATTTACTAATGTTATTTTATAACATTATTATTTCAAAACATTAAATGTTAACTCTGTGTCTATCAGTTAGCATTAACCACAATTAATAAATGTTGTAAAACAGTTCATTGCTTGTTTATATATATTACTTAAGGCTAATGCTTACAAATTGAACCTTAGTGTAAAGTGTTACAGAAAAATCTCTAATGGGTCAAATAGCAATACTGATGCACTGTTAATGATTTTTTTTCAGTTCATATCATATTGCTGATTTTCCATTAGTGTAAATATGGTGACATGATGGAGTCTGTGTGTGGTTTCTGAAACCTTAACAAAAATATAAAAGAAATACATATAGTTAATCTACAAAGTACAGTATGTCATGGATTGTTTTAGAAACCCTCCATTCATGTCTTGAATTAGGGAAATCTGGTATTTCAAAATGTCCAAGTCTTTTTGGATGCTTTTGAAAAATAATCCAAATGTCAAAATGCTGTTCATCGCAATTGAAATACCTGATTTTGCGCTAGTACATGACATTTCGTCCCTGCATGGACAGTAACCCTTTAAAAGGCCACAAATATTATATTTTGTGAAAGTCCTCAAAGATGACTGAAGATGACTGAGATACAATTAGATGAAAGGTCAGAGGGTTAATTCACATTTAAGGGGCGTGTGCTTTGTGTTTAGTGATGAAAGCACTGTTGACTGAGAGTGGGGTGTGACTCTTCAAAATTATGTTAATTGTTTTGACATTTGTCACACAGCAAATGACTTCACTTCTTAGTTCCTCTGTCTTTGTGCTCCTCCATCAAAGTGCCACATTTACCACAGTCATAAAAAGACAATGCTGAAATATCTGAAAAACTGACAGCACAAACAAATCTTTGTTCAAAACCAACAGCAGCTACACAAACAAAAATCAGTTAGGTTGTCTGAATCATCACATAAAAACACCCTCTCAGCATTATGAGCTACAGTATAAAACATGTATCCATACACCATGGTCTCATAAATGTCTCTTTACTTTGCAATCCCATCCTTAATCAAAGGCAATAAACAATTTGCTTTATATTGTGTGTTTTCATCATGCTTAAGACCATTGAACATATTTCCATTTTCACAACAGTCCACTATAAACTGGTATATGATTTCTTTAGTTTCATACTCTTATATTTAAATGAACTCCTGTCGTTCTCCGTGTCATATAATGACAGATGAGATAGACAATGAAGGGCACATTGAAGTATGACATGTTTAAGAGAGAGTTGCTGCCAGCTTGTATTGACAGAGAGAGGTAGGAAATGAGATGACATAAATTCCTGCATGTGCTGAACATTATGCATGATGACTATAACATATTTGTTGTCGTTTTTATCCTTTCTTTTCCCTCAGTTCCTTGGTTTGACTCATTATACTTGCATTGCTCTTTATTGACTCATTATGGTTCGTGTCTACAGAGCTGAGTGTTGACAGAGTGTCAAGATTATGCTAAATCGTTAACTAAGACAGCAGAGTTGATATATGCAGCAGCTAATTTGTGGTTCATCAAGTCATTTTTTTTTTCCAGAGAGAATATTTATGAAATTCAAATGAAAATGTAGACATCGTTCTGAACTTTACCCATCTCTTACCTACTCTGTAATTTTAATTATCATCTAAATTTGTTGTCTTCATAGCAGATATGCTTATGAAGTGAGTCCTCAGAAAAGGATTTAAATTAAATACTATTTAATTCACTGTTAAAACATAACGTATTTTTCTGCTTTGCAGACAGTACATATTAAGTTAAAAAAATCACATGAAATGAAATGCAGTTTACTTTAGGCATCAGACAGGCTGAGGAAAGTCCAGTGTTTTCTGTGTGCGTGTATTTATATGTCTGTATTAACTGTTGTACCTTTGTACCTCAGAAAATGTAGGGCGCTTAGTCACACCTGCCAAAAAGCTTGAGGACACGCTCCGTCTGGCCGAGCTGGTCATAGAGGTGCTCCAGCAGAATGAAGAACATCATGCAGAAGTGAGTGTGCCAGACATTACGTGGTAGACATGCTTAAATATACAAGTATGAAAAGAAATATGTCAGGGGCATAGTTATGTGAAAACAAACAATGCTGATTCAATAATAAGACATCAGAGCAACTTAAAATGTTTTCAATAATAATAATATTAAAAAACAAAAAAAAAGGGTCCTCAATGGCTGCTAGCTCTATTTAGGTGACATTCCCCATTAGAGCAGCCGTCATCATCTCACAGACAACAGCAGAATATATGTGACCCTGGACCACAAACCAGTCATAAGGGTCAATTTTTTAAAATTGAGATTTATAACACATCTGAAAGCTGAATAAATAAGCTTTCAATTGATGTATGGTTTGTTAGGATAGGACATTATTTGGTCGAGATACAACTATTTGAAAATCTGGAATCTGGCGGTGCAAAAAGAAAATCTAAATACTGAGAAAACCGCCTTTAAAATTGTCCAAATTAAGTTCTTAGCAATGCATATTACTAATCAAAAATTAAGTTTTGATATATTTACAGTATGAAATTTACAAAATATCTTCATGGAACATGGTCTGTACTTAATATTCTAATGAGTTTTGGCATAAAAGAAAAATCGATAATTTTGACCCATACAATGTTTCATTGGCTATTGCTACAAATATACCCCAGCGACTTAAGACTGGTTTTGTGGTCCAGGGTCACATATGTGTGTTTTTGTGTTTTTAAATTATGTGCTCCGCAGGCTACACACCCAAGTACGGGAGGTCAGGCGGTACAGTACTTTTTATTTTTTTCTGTCATCAGTGGCATACCCTGCTCTTGCATGCCAGTCTCATGATCTGGCCTGCCCTGGAAGAGGCTTTACATGGGCATAGCAAATCAGGAGTCAGGCATCTGCAGGGTGGATTTATTTAATTTCAGTTCAGCTCATTCTAAGTTAATTAAAGAGTTAAATTCAGAACTAGATAGATAGATAGATAGATAGATAGATAGATAGATAGATAGATAGATCTGAACTGAACTGAAATTACTGTCACATTGACTGAGTACATTCCAGTTTGAAGGCATCATAGTCAATGGACAAAATGACTACAGCTGTGCTAAGTTGTTCATCATCATTTCAGTTTATTTCAAATCTGTTACTCTGTTTTTTTGTTTTCTTTTGTAAATTCTATTTACACTTCTAGTACCAGGTTCATTAAACCATTAAAGGAATAGTTCACCCAAAATTCATTAAGAACAAAAAGAGGATATTTTGAATATCTGTTTGTAATTTTATTTTAAATGAAATAATTTTAAAAGTCTGTTTGTTTGTAGACCATACAATGAAAATCAGTTGGGTCCAATGTTGGTTGGGACCACACTGACTCTAATTATATAAACAAAACGATTATTCAAAATATCTGCCTACAGAAATGGTTACAGGTTTGGAACAACATTGTCATACTTTACTCACCAGAATTATTCATTTTTGGGTGGCTTATCCCTTTAAGCACATAAAATCATTTTAAATAAATATGTCCACTAAAGTGCATGGGATTGTTTATGGTATTTTACATAGTCCAGTCATTTATCATGCCCCTAAAATTGCATGTTCAAATGTAAATGTGCATCATGTACATGCACAAAATAATGTAATACATTTGGTAAATTGATGCACATATATATATCATGTAATTTTTACGCCATCAGTGACAATTGCACGTCAAAACCTAGAATCTTTACAAGCATACCAAACTGTCTTAAGCATAAGAATGATTTTATCATTTATTAAACATTATTTCTTGTGTTTGTTTGCTTCCTTTTGATCAAGATCACTGTCAATCATTCTTAGCTGTTTTCACATTGTTTTCCAATTGCAATTTAAAGCCCTTTAATGCTGAAGAATTTATGATAATCAAGTACTCAAACCAAAACACAGAGCGAAGAAAATCTCACGTAACTCTCACTGTTTTTCATGACTTGTTTGTTGGCTGGAAAACGTTGGACAGGGTAAAGAGGTATGTAGACCATAGAGTCCCCCTCCATGTGCATGTCGCAGCCCCTGCACCATGGATGGAGGGATTTCCACCTTTTCCCCCTAATGTCGTCCTCCCCATCTCTGCCTGGACACCCCATCCTTCCCCTGGTCAGCTGTCGCTGTGGAGCATTGAGCAAGTTGCTTGTTTCCACAAGCACAAGGGGACAGTGCTTCACCTGTGGAAGCAGACACCCCAAAAAACCTCAATGAAAATGAGAATGGTCTCATTTTCACCCTTGCACAACCCCAATAATCTCCAAACTCTCCTCTGTTTTGTGTTTTTCAGCTTGGTTTGGTCTGCTAGCTTCACTTACCAGCTCTGACTACAAATATAAAACTGTGTAACAAATGCACTTATCTGTGTTTTTTGGGAGAGATGTTGCAAGAAAAAAAACTGGTCTCAAAAATACTGGTATGAAAATTTGTTTGAGTGGTCAGTGACAACAGCATGCCTTTTTAAAGGAGAGGAAGCCATGATCTACATTAACTTTTCATTTGTCTAACACGCTTGATGCATATCTACAGGCCAGATGTGTCACACACAGCAGCGCGGTTTGATCAGCAGCAGAGGAATCTCATATACAGAAGACATAATTGCACTCTTAAAAATATATATGCAATAGAAATAACCTTTTTAGGTTCCCCAAAGAACCTTTCTGAACTTTTTTTTATTATAAAGAACCTTTTTTGCAATGTAAATGTTTCATGGATGTTAAAGGTCTTCATGGAACCAACAACGCCAATAAAGAACTTTTATGTTTAGGAGTGTATTTAAAATGATTTTGATTTAAACAGAGAAACAATGCTAATAATTACTGAGATTGTGCTGCTAATCAATGCTGCTGCTGCATGCTGGGAATTTGTTTGTTACAAAGGCTTAAATTCCTGTGCATGGACTTCACATCTGCAAAATGGAAAGTAAATAAAGGATATACTTTGAATATAAATCAATGTATGTGAATTAGACATTAGCTGTGCTTTTTAGAAGAGGGAGTAGCATGAGAGTTTTAATGCATGAGATAAGCTCATGACACGCCACATACACAAAGATGAAAAATTGCATTACTGGAGAGTCTGGCATAAATCTCAAAACTGTTTCAGTTTAATTTTTATAGATCTGTGGACTGTCATGCCCTTACATATAAGAGAAAGGACTAAACTTGAGTGTATGTCTTTATATTACATGGCTAAGTTTATTTTTTATTTCATTTCCCCCTTTTTTCTGGCTCTTGTGTTGCCTCTGTTTCTCTTTCTCTCGCTGCAGGCATTTGCTTGGTGGTCAGACCTGATGGTTGAACATGCCGAGACGTTTCTGTCTCTATATGCTGTGGACATGGACGCGGCACTGGAGGTCCAACCACCAGACAGCTGGGACAGCTTCCCTCTCTTTCAGCTGCTCAATGACTTCCTGCGCATTGACTGTGAGTATTTGCAATGATCTATTCTGGACAGGTCCACATATTTTATGCCTTATCAAATGAATATTGTAGTTTAAATACAAGGTCATTTCTATTGACACCATATGTGTCTCATATACTGACAGAAACATTCTTTCAAACGTTCAAGAATTTATTTTAATTAATATATATAGATAGAGAGAGAGAGAATAATCATGGTTATCATAAACAAATAAATGAAATGAATGAAATTGGAAATTGGCATATCTATAGTCCATAATATTTGCATTTTTGTGATGTTGCATGCCTGCAATAGGTTACAAATTGCAACAAAGCGAAGCTTTAAGAGACAATATTAAAGAATTAAGGGCCAAATAGCGAACCCCGCAGGGGGTCGTACCAACACATTGAATGTAAAGAGTTTGCTCAAGGCCTTATCACGTCTCTAATGAACTGAAGTCAATGGGGTGCTGTCCATGGTGCTAAAGCCACACTGCCATGGGCTGTAGTTGACTAATTATCCTAGTGGCATTCTTTGCACAGCTTGACAGGTTGTTGTCTGGTAACCTATTCTTGATATTGGATTGCTTTTTCTTCTGGGAGAGCTAGAGCTTGAGAAATCAAGAGTGTGTACTATGTATAAAATAAACAATTTAACAGCCTTTTCCTTTTTAAAGTATATTTAAATTGTATTTTAGTTTTGAATATTGTTTCCCTTACATTCACATGCTTGGTATTTATTTGTTTGTTAGCTTGCTTTTTGTTTGTATTTGTTTATTTTTGTTCTTCTGTCTCTTCTCTTCTTCTTCTATGAGAGATTGTGTCTTATAATTAATATCTTAAATTAAAAAAATTGAATTATTCTTAATAATCTCTTGTAAAGAAGGGAGCAAAGGTCTTTTATATACATGGTCTGTTTTTCATCATTCCAGCAGAGAAAGACCTTCTTATCCATCTTATTTTTAAGGGCTCTAAATTATAAACATGATCAAGACATTGTACACAATCTATGACATGCCTTCTGTCATCTGATTGATGCTTCAAATTTTTTTAGCAAGTAAAAAGCCTTTTAGTGTAATTCTGAAAACATCCGCCTTCATGTCAATTCATGTGTCTTTTTGCTGTACAACCTTTGCTGATTTTATAACAAATTTAAGATATTTTACATTGTTAGTAATATTTCAAGAAGAACACTTACTGATCTTTTTTTAAATCATCTCCAAATTGCATATTTTTGCTCAGTTTGGACCTCTGAGTTTTTTCTTCTTCTTTGAGTATTAGCTCCATATTCTCAATATATCATATATGAGCCATACAAGCTTAATGCAATAAATATGATACAAATGCAAACTTTTAAAATTAATTATATTTTGTCTAAAGTTCCAATAAGCTTAACAGGGTTAAACACAACCTAGTTACCCAATCTAGCACCATGTAGTTCCCCATAAACCCACACACATATTATTACTCCTCGCTACAACACAGAGACACATATCACCTCCCTCTGGCCTCCTCACACACAAGCACACTCGCATAAACACAAACACAAACAAACACCATCGAGCGACAGCCTACAGCATGCACTACATCTGTGGAACAGGACATTCAGCATGGAAGGTCACTATCGTCCTGTGCCTGTAGCACTGAGCTAGGCATGAAACAGCCTTAACACCAGACAGGCGCTAAAGCAGAAGCTATTCATGCTGCTAATGAGGTCTAAAACAGAGGAGCCTGGGAGACCCCACTGCCCCGGCCACTTGCTCGCGGACAAACACAGCCAAGTGTACAACCACCGCCGCTCAAGTGGCTAATTGGAACAGAGCAATCAGGGAAGCAAACAAACATGGCACCTACTGCGAATGATCGACCTTGAGTACAACAAGAGAGATAGTGAGAGAGCGAAGTGAGAGAAATAGAGATGCTATGACTACTATGCTTAGTCATTACATGCTAAAAAATGCATGTTTCCACCAATACAGTAGACTTTCTTCAGTCTTCAATTCTCTTCACTTCAGTGTCACTGGATCCTAAAGAAATCATTTAAAAAAAAGAGAGAAAGTTTGCCACTGACTACTTGGGCCTTTTTTGTTGTTTTATTTTATTTTATTTCTGTGTTTTTGTTTTCTTTTTTTTTTTTTTTTTTTTTTTTTTTTTTTTTTTGCTAAAAATGATCCAATCCAAACGTCAGAGTTTAAACAGCATCTAGATATGTCCCAAATTTTAATGAAAGGGTTGCAAAAATGGCAACCAATAAGATAAATCAAAAATCACTCGTATAATATTTAGTTTGATCTCCTGAAATTAACAAAAATTGTCAGGCCTTACTACAGCATGTATCCTGTTGAAAGTGCCATAACACTTCAATGTTTTGCCACCTTAATTTTTCAGATTTGCTTAGTCACACATTGTCTGCTGTTACTACTAGATGTCAGCAATCATTTATTCAGTTTTTTCTCTCTTTCCCACTTTTCGTTTTTGCTGTTTCAGATAATCTATGTAATGGGAAGTTTCATAAGCACCTGCAAGACCTGTTTGCCCCTCTGGTGGTGAGGTATGTGGATCTAATGGAGTCCTCCATAGCTCAGTCCATACACAGAGGATTTGAACGAGAATCTTGGGAACCTGTCAAGTAAGCAAAACACGTTTTCATTTTAAACGTTTATGATGAAGATGTTAATTCAGTACAGTTATAAAAAAATAAAAATGCATGCTTGGCCTTCCGCAGTCTTCTTGTGTTCAGAAACAGCTAAATGGATACCAACAGACTGAAAAAGGTTTCACAATGTGTTTTGTGTCTTTGTTTTCCTGAATCTTTTTTAGCACGTCTGTTTGTTTTTAACAGCTTAAAAGTAATTATTTTCAAGATTTTTTTTTCTTTAAGTAGCACTCATTTTCTTACAGTCCAAACCAGCCCTGCTTGTTTAACTTGAAAAACAATCTTACATGATTCCCAAATATACCAGTCATCAGAATAACTTGGCAACATACTGGAAGACAAAGTGTGTGACTGTAAGAATGTTAATGCTAATTGAATCAACAATCTGCATTTCAGCAGAAACAAAAGTGTGTGTTTTCTCGTAAGAGCCAAAGTGGTGATGATGTGATTCACTCCTTCTCATGTGCACTTCTCATCTCTACAACACCATCATATCTCTGAATTAATTCTTCATCTTGTGCTCTAAACATACTGTACATAATGCTGTTTCTGTATCACCCACACTTTCTTCTGTGCATCTACATCACTGCATTCTTTTTTCTGTGTTTTTTTCCTTTTCCACAGGAGTTTAACAAGTAATCTGCCCAGTGTCAGCATACCAAATGTGAATCTACAAATGCCTAAAGTACCAAATCTACCAGTGTCAGTTAATCTGCCACCAATGCAAATGCTTAGCTTTTCCACCCCCAACTGGATACCGGGTTTATCTGATACTGAGTGTGTACTGAGTCTGTACCGGATTCTAATACATGCATGCGTGGCCTTAGCATGAACATATTGTCTTTATTTTATACTGAATTCCAATTCGAATTCACCCCAGATCAATTGTAGGTATAGGATTTCATGTGGAAATTCTTTGCAATTGAGGACTCCAGAATTTCTAAAATTATATTATGGAACATCTAACATTTTACATTTATTACATTTATATATAATATTTTTTTTTTGTGTGTGCCAAATAGTTCAACCACAGATCGCTCCAGAACATTTCTATGTGTTTCCGATAAGAATTAAATGAAATATTTTTTTACAGCTTAACACAATCTGTTGTTGATTTACTATGTTTAGGATCATTGTCATGTGTCATAATGCACATAAAAGGCAATAAACACAAACAGATGCTTTGAAATTCTGCTTTAGATAAGCAGATGCTGTGCAAGAGGCCAGAATTTTCACTTATTGAGATTTTTTGGGGTTTTTTGTAGGTAAATATGATCAATTGTATTTATTTTTTTTTCTTATTGGATCATATGATAGTGTGTTATATATTTACAATTTTAATTAACTGATTTTAGTCTTTAGGTTTAAAATGAATATTATGTCAGTGAAGTTAGCTTCTTTTTAACAGCTTGTGTAACAAACAGTTTAAAAAAGGCTTACTTTAGAGCATCTTCATTAAAGTTTGAGTAGCTTGTAGCTTGACAAAGTACAAATTTCAAAGTATATACATAAAAACAAAATGATAAACATAGTAATGAAGCATTACATCTTGACTCACATGAAGATAACATTGTAGTAGTAATATAAAATCTAATTTACAAATAGTTCTTAAAACTGTACATGCAGAATCAGCTACTTTCTTTACATGTGTGGAAATTTTCTACATAAACATTGCCTATGAATTAAGAATTTGTGATTTAGGGAGTTGACAGAGGTGCGCCAAGGGAATTTTAGCTTATATTTAGACATGATAATTAAAAACCGATACTCCAAATCTTAGCATATTACCACTTTCCAGATGAGAGTGAAATACCTTACGCGCTGCATGTGTTGGAAAAAAATTACGTATGCACACACAGACATAATTATGCATGCTGAGTGAGACTCGGTGTAAATATTCCATCTCTAAGGTGTAATAGTGGGTAAACACCAAAGGTTGCCAAAACTAGACGGCACCACCTCAAAATTTTAGTGTCTGTCTTGGCATGTCAGACTAAATTATTTCAACTTTGTAGAAATTAGTGTTTATAAATTTCAGTTATGTTATGTTTCAGGCTAAGGCCACATTATGGAAACAATTTTTAACCCAAAAAGCCCTACGCATGTTGAAGGGTTGGAAGATACAAATAACACACTATAAAATATATATGTTTTGCTAGCTAAATATTAAAGCTGAAGTGTGCCATACTTGTGCACTAGCGGCACCAAACAGAATCACAAAAATAACTAGAAGGGAACATTTGTTAGGACAATTTGTTAAATGTTGGTTAGACTCTTCTTAATTCTGAAGAGTTTTAACATTGCTAAATATTGCTGCTTGATTGCCAAGGTATTTTGGATGGATGGTTCTAATGTTTTCTGTGTGGACATAAATGTCAAGCCAACATAAAAGCAATTTCAGACGTCTTTGTTCAGCCCTGTCCCAAACTCATGCCATTGGCTGAGCCAATGTTGTTCATTTCAGCCACTAAAACAAAAAGATTGCAGTTTTATTTGATGCCGCATGTAGCACAGAAATTACACACTTCACCTTTAACAAAATTATTCACAATATCATGGTCAAATGGTTAGATGCTCTTGGTTTCTGGTCATTAATAAACAATGCTGCTTTAACATCTTGTATCTTTCCAACATCTTCCTCCTTTCCCTTTTTCTATTAGAATAGAGCAGGATACAGTTGTCATTTCTCTTTCCTCTTGCTGTATTTGATAGGTAATGGTTTCTAGAGTAGTAGCACTCCAGCTGTAGCCTGTTTTAGGGTGTCAGGATGGGAATACTGAGGAAGATCACCCCCATCCCACTTTTGCTCCTGTCCTGTTTCCCTCATCTACAGTGTCACAGACAATGCTCTGAAGTGATATACAAGCTTCAGAGAAACAGGCATCTGCTTTCAGTAGAAACCAAATATAAGACTTTAAAAGGACTGGTTGTGTGAGAAACCCAAACTGCATGGTTTCTCAGAACAGTCATTTTTGGTGTTTTTCACACGATGGCTTAACATTCTTGTTTGAGGTCTAATTTGGTAGATTTTAATAGAGTATCCTTTTCTTTATTTATTTCTTTATTTATTCATTTTAAATTTGAATTGCAAAATGTTGTGTTATAAAGTATTGTAAAAAAAACTCAATTTTTCTAATTCATCATCTTCATTTCAAATTCTATTATCAGCACAACAGTTTCAGTGAAAAATGTAATGAAAAATTATTTTAGTATTTTTCTATTAATCAGTGGTAACATACATCTTTGGATGCTTCTCCTTCAGTCATTTTGCAATATATATATATATATAAATCGTAAAAAGTTTTTTATCATTGGAAAAAAATCATAAACAAAGTAAAAAATATATAAATCAATTCATAATATATAAATGTGTTAAGATTATATATTGAATTGAAGATACTGTAAGAATAAATAAATAAAATATTGATACAATTAATTATTGATTGTTGGTCAGTATCGGTCTTTCTTTAATTTATTTATTTATCAACAGACACTCACATACAGAAGTAGAAGGATGTGTAGAAATATATCCTACTTCTGTATGTGAGTGTCTGTTGAGTCTGAGTCCCCATTTTAGCAGAATTGAGTATAAATGAATCAAGTGTGAAAGCTCCTACAGAGTCTTCTAACTAAATCTGGCTTCAGTGTGAAGCTCTCTGATTCAGTTGATCCAAAAATATGTTTCCACTGAAGATGCCTTGGCCTGCTGGCTGTTTGAGGACACATGCATGCGGCTGTAAGGAATAGAGTGAGAGTTAGTCTGTTTTCCATAGTCTGTGATCCATTCTTCATTCACCTCAGACCATGTGGCCTTAAAATTGACTCCATCCAAACAGATCTATGCCTTTAGTCAGATCAGTTGAAAGTCTGGGACTGTAGCTTCTCCTGCCACTTCATACTCATACAGCCTTTACTTGTGATCTTGAAATTATCTTTTGACATCATTCTGCATGTTTTATCTTTCCTGTACTCAAACAACCAGGGCTGCGTTTCCCAAAAGCATCGTAAGCTTAAGTTGATTGTAGCTCCATTGGTTTCAATGGGTCTACGATGTATTTAAGCATACAATGCTTTTGGGAAACGCAGCCCAGGCCTGACTGGTTATCATTTTGTTTTAGGATTAACCATTTATTTTTTCCATGGAACGATCGCCAATGAGGTTGTTCTGAAGCCATCAGAGCACCTCTGCAATGATTGGGAAGTGGTAAAATAACTAAACTGAATGTGTCACCCTGGAGTGTTGACTTGAAACAGGTTTTGCCTTCTTTAACCCCCCACCACCCTGCCCTTTGACCTTCCTACTTCCTGACCTTGGAGCTTTCCCTTCCTGATATACAGCTTTGATTAAAATAATTTAATGTATATCTCTCACTGTCTCCTCTGCACATGTCCTGGTGTTGGCAGTAATGGATCAGGGACATCAGAAGACTTGTTTTGGAAGCTGGATGCATTGCAGACATTCATCAGAGACCTGCACTGGCCAGAAGAAGAGTTTGCCAAGCACTTGGAGAGCCGACTCAAACTCATGTCCAGTGACATGATCGAGTCCTGTGTAAAAAGGTGTGACTTGAAAACATTGTTGACAGTTATTACAAATGTAATATGAACATGTTGTATGAACTTTGCCATGCTAATAATGTCTTTTTCCTGTTTGAAGCTGCTTTGAAACAATCTGTAATGTATAAACAGCCATAGAATTGACTTAACTGCTGTATTTTGACAGTGGGCACTTTATTTGTTCAAGACATGTTTTGGTTTGTCCTGCTGGTTTATCCAAAACTGTTTTAAGCAGCATTCTGTTCATAATTTTTTTAATATTATTATTATGACACCACATTAATTGAGAGACTACATCCTCACTTAGTAGTAGTTGTAAACTCTTTGTCATTGCTGTGAGTGAAGACGTGATTTGAAGTGCTTTAAGAAACTGTTGTATGTAATGTCATGGTAATTTGCTGATTCAGTAACAAGTAAAAAAATCCACCCCTTTTCTTCTTCCAATCTACACAAAGAAGTTTTATTATGCTAAAAATGTGGAACATAAAACTCTAATTTGTGTGTTTTGTTTATGTATTTATTTAGATCCTTTGCTGCATCTCAGTCATCTCTTGCGTTACAGTTCAACCAAATATATAGTTTGCCTATATCTACTGTACTACTTAGAATGGCAGTTGCTAATGAGAGTTTAAAGGATTAGTTCACTTCCAGAATGAAAATTTCCTGATAATTTACTCACCCCCATATCATCCAAGATGTTCATGTCTTTCTTTCTTCCGCTGAAAAGAAATTAAGGTTTTTAAGGGATTCCAGGATTTTTCTCCATGATGGCCAACTTCAATGGTGGCCAATGGGTTGAAGGTCCAAATTCAATGTTTCAGTTTCAGTGCAGCTTCAAAGGGCTCTACACAATCCCATCCGAGGAATAAGAGTCTTATCTTGCAAAACGATCTGCCATTTTCAAAAAAAAGAAAAAAAAGAAGCAGATCTATACAGGTGGAGCTGGGGAAGGTGGAGGGTTTCAGAGAACTCTGAAAGCGCACTGCAGGAATCTCAAGTGAATGCTAGCCAGCCATATAAATGCAAGGCAGTAAGCTCATATGCAGCATGAACCAATCAGCTTGTGCCAAGTCGTTTAACTCTCTGAATATCATTAGTTACGTTGACACCCCGTCAGAATGCGCCATCTAGAGTTTCATGATTGAACAGTCAAATATATATTGAAAATATATGAGTAAATTATGAGTAAATTATCAGGCAATTTTATTCTGAAACTCTTAAATAGTCACATATATTTAGTCTGGTTTCCTGACTTTTTGACAATCCTACACCATTCTAAATGATAGTTACGTTGACACCCCGTCAGAATGCGCCATCTAGAGTTTCATGATTGAACAGTCAAATATATATTGAAAATATATGAGTAAATTATCAGGCAATTTTATTCTGAAACTCTTAAATAGTCACATATATTTAGTCTGGTTTCCTGACTTTTTGACAATCCTACACCATTCTAAATGACCAAAGCAACCAATCAGAATTCGATGTCCCTTGTGTTGTTTCAGAACCAGAGCAGCCTTTGAGGTGAAGTTGCAGAAGAGTCCACGCACTACAGACTTCCGTGTCCCCCAGTCCATATGCACCATGTTCAACGTCATGGTGGACGCCAAGGCCCAATCGGCCAAACTATGTGCCATGGAGCTCAGCCAAGAGGTAGACAACACTAACAAATGTATCTTTCTGTTCTCACTTACATCTTTATACACTTCTCATGTTCTCTATCTTTCTCATCATTGCAAACATGCACTTTCTCTGCCACAATTTTTCAAGTACAACACCTTCATAATGTGCTGATCTGCATACATCTTAGATTGAATATTAATTTACATTGTAAAATCCATTATTCTGTAGTGTTTTGAATTGCATGTATTCATCATATGCACCAGCCTACAATATATACAGCAGGTATATCTGAATTGAACATTGTTTTTATTCTCTATGATTGTAAATATATCATTTAAATGCATTTACTGCTGTAGATCTGAATGATTCACCAGCATGGCAACTTTCCGTCATTTCTGAATTTTACTTTAATTTGACTCTGTGCTGGAATGAGATGTTTTCTTTTTCTCTCTGTTGCTCTGTAATTGTCACTGTCACCTTGTCTGCTGTATCTTTCTTTTCATCCCTTTTCTCAATCTTGTGAAAGTTTGTTAGAGAATGGGTAAGTGTGGCTAACAATTCAATTGAATTCTCACCTTTATGTCCCAAAGGTATAATTAGCAATCCTAGCAGTTTCCCCCAGTCCTGTGACACTTAAATTGTTTTGATTGTATTACCATATGTGATAGCTGCTTCTGAATATACATGTGCTAGAAGTGAGACATCTCATATCCGTAACATCTTGAGACAGGTAATGATCTGAACTGAATTAATTACCCAGACGTATTTCATATGGGGTAAATGGAGACAAATGGATTTTGAGTTTGCACAGATTATCCCAGGTGAAAACCACCAAACAGCTCAAGAAAGCTTGTTGCGATTTCTGCTCATTATGTCTTTCTTTTCCAGAGACAGTACCACTCGCAAATAGACAATCTCATCGAGGAGATGGTGAAAGAAATGATTACTTTACTCGTGGCAAAGGTATAGCATTTAAGGAAAACAATATTCCTAAGTTATGTTTTGATATCTACAAACAATTGCTTTATTCAAAAGTAAAACATTAAAAGCAGACATAAATTTTCTAAATCATACTGTTTCTTGTTTTCTGTTCATTATTAAATCTCTTGAAATTCATAGCATGAAAATAATGATCAATTATGATAATTTAGCATTTTTAGCATTTTAGCAATTTAGCATTTTTTTATTTTTTATTTCTGTTTTACAGTTTGTTGTGATCCTAGAGAGTGTTCTGGCAAAGTTGTCACGTTATGATGAAGGCACACTTTTTTCCTCCTTCCTGTCATTTACAGTAAGAACAAATAGTAGCTTAATTTATTGACAAACTCAGACAATTTTAATAATAAATCTTTTACTTTAGCACAAGATGTTTTCACTCAAAATGCATTATTTCAATTTATTCTTATATTAAAAATTAGCCATCTTCTAAAGATGTGTTATCTTTCACTTCACAGTATTGTATAAGTAAAATATTTATATTTAAATGATTATTTTAATTTTGATTTTTATGTCCCTTTTATTTGTAGGTAAAAGCTGCTTCAAAATATGTGGACGTACCTGTAAGTGACAACAGGATTTTTTACTGATGCTCATTTGATTTATCAATCAAACAGTTAATTGGTTATCCACCTTATTTTTCAGTGTGAAAGTAAGCAATTTTCTGTGAATGTGCAAGACTTTCAGTTCATTATCAGGCTGTAGGAAAATAGCAAGAAGAATAACAAAGTGCAGTAAATGGTAAAACTGTTTGCACTACAAACCAGTATGTTCATAATTAAGATAATACATTAAAATAAGATGGTAAGACACACTAGTTTGCGATATCATACAGGAAAAAATGCTGTTTTGTACAGCTAAATATTGCTGGAAGTGGATGAGACCGGAAGCCTCGCACATCAAATTTACAGCTAGCCGCACCCGCTCTTACGTCTTAAATCAACTTATGTTTCCTACTTTTGTTTCTTGTAGACATGAAACCTCAGTAGTAGAAGCATATTAGTTTGGATAATTCATTAATAGTATTACACTTTGTTATCAGAAGATTTGTAACAGCTTTAAGATACGTCTAATAATTACCATGGCCTGCTGTGCAGATGGCCATCTCTTAACCCCAAATGGCCATTCATATGTATGTGGGAGAGAGTCGTCTCTGTGAAGCTCTCCCCTCTGCAGCAGACAGTGTGATGTGTGTGTTGTGCAACAAAAGCCCGTTGTAAAGATGCCGCTGGGTCCAACTCATTGCATTCAGCATCACATCACTGAGTTTCCTTCAACTGCCAACACATTTGGTCACGACGCGAGGCCTTTTAAATTAAAACCCTGTCAATGAATGCCGGAAGCGTCCTCTCGCTGTCTTTCTCTCTATCTTTATCGTTCTGCTGATGATCTGAGGGTTAGCAAATCTCATGTTTCCATGGTAATTGTTTGCTTAATACACAAAATAAAAGTATGTCTGACAAAATTTGCACCCTTTGAAAGGACCCATAGATGTGTGAAGTAAGTTCAATTTACAGCGTCTGACAATTACCAATTCTGATGACCATCATATGCCTGCTGGCAAAGGAAGTGTTTAATTCTCCTCTGAGGCCGAGCAGGGGGGCAGAACACCCCAGAAGATTTACTCTGGGTTGATTTTTCACTTGCTGTTTTGTTGAATAGTCGTATTAATCAAATAACATTGTTCTCCTGCCGGTCTGTTCAGACTTTTATAATGACAGCTCATTTTGCACACCTCAGGTTTTGACTATTAGATGTCTAAGAAAATGAGAAAGAAAACACTTTTTTTGTCTGCTTGTCAGATGAAATATAATTTGCTAATTTGACAGTAGACAGTAGCTTTGCTACTGTACAAAGCAAAATCCACATAAGCGTTAGATTGGCATAGCAATACAGATTTCAGAACAGTGCAGTAAGCGAAATGAGTGTAGCAGTAGTGTAGCAATGTATGAAGCACAGCTTCCATGTAGTGTTTTGGTTGACAACGTGGCAATTACCAACTTGATCTTTCGTGCAAAATCTTTCGTTTTCATGTGAAATTCCAGATTGCGAAAATTCCTGTTGAAATTACTTACTGAACAGTGGTAAATGTGACTGCATTCTCCATTATGAAACCTAGGGAGCTGCTGATAGTATTTTAAAGGAATAGTTCACGCAAAAATGAACATTTGCAGAAAATGTTCTTGCCCTCCAAGGCCATCCAAGATGTACCTGTAGATGATTTTGATTTTTCAACAGAACAGATATGGAAACTTTAACATTACATCACTTGTTTGTTAATGGATCCTCTGCAGTGAATGGGTGCCGTCAGAATGAGAGTCCAAACAGCTGATAAACACATCACAATAATCCACAAGTAATCCACATGACTCCAGTCCATCAATTACTGTCTTGTGATTTAAATAACATATTATTTAGACATTTTACCTTTAAAATGTCACTTCTGGCCAAAATATCAGTTCATAATCCATAATATCGCTTCATCCAGTGAAGAAGTGCATCCCCTGTTGTCCTCTCACATCAAAATTCGCCAGTATATTTGTTTAGAACTGTTTTTGCTTGTAAACAGTGTTTGATATGTGCATATTTCTCTCCTGATTTTTTTTTTCATTGGAGAAAACAATATTATGGATAGATGACTCATATTTTAGCTTTGAAGTTAAAATCATCTTGATGGATTGGTTCATTGCAAACATGCAGCTTTTCACTTTACAAGACGTTATGGGCTGGAGTTGTGTGGATTACTTGTGGATTATTGTGATGTTTTCATCAGCATTTTTGACTCATTCCATTGGTGAGAAAGTGATATAATGCTAAATTTCCCCAAATCTGTTCTGATAAATAAACAAACTCATCTACATCTTGGACAACATTTTCATTTTTGGGTAAACTATTTTTTCAAAATGTAAGCATCTTGATTATGCTTGCATTGATATCATTTTAACACATATCCAAGATTGCAGTGACAGTTGATTATAAAACATATTTCAATCAGTACTGAAAATTGTGTAATTAAAAAGCTGTTGTTGTAGTTAGTTGAGTCTAGATTGTTCTGAATCGGTCACGTATCAGGCTCAATGATGTTTAGGATGCTGCCTATATAGGCCGCTCACAAGGTTTGGGCTTATGAGGTTTGTGTATGAGCTGAGTTGTATGCTAATATTTAAATTATTTTAAGCAGTAAAACATTTCTTTCTTTCTTTCTTTCTTTCTTTCTTTCTTTCTTTCCTTCATCTGCAGAAACCTGGGATGGATGTTGCCGACAGCTATGTGACATTAGTTCGCCACTCTCAGGATGTCTTGCGGGACAAGGTCAATGAGGAGATGTATATAGAAAGGTTATTTGATGTAAGTAATGGCTGTCTTCTCCCTCTGTGAAGGGGGAGGCCCTCCAAAATGTGACATAACAGCCAGTTAGGAGGGATAAGTCAGTCACATTTTGAGATCTGCGTCTCTCTCTTTCTCACTTAATTTCTCTATCTTTTACCCTTTGACTCTAACTTTATCTCTTGCACTTTAAAAAACATTTTTTTCTATCGCTTTCTCTGGCTTAAACTTTCCTCTCTGGTTTGCAGTGCTGTGTGTATTCCTGAATGTTCTGGCTGTAATATTCCCTTTGCTCTGCTCGTTATTCCTAGTGCAAAATTCTGGAGGAGGATTATCTTAAGATGTGTTCTCACACAAAGGGGCATGCAGATGTGAGCTTAAGCAATTCAAGCTACCTACAGCACACTGCAATCAAAGATAGAGACTGAGAATCTACAGACGACTACACAGACGTAGCTATGTTATGAAAGTTATTGCAGACCTTTGATTAAAGGTTCTAGTTGTTAAGAATAGCTTGCGGTTCAAAGAAGAGAACAGTAGAGTAGATCTCGACATAACACATTTTTTTTCCCTCTAAGATCTCAACATGTACTTCTGTTCAAAAGTTTGGGGTCAATAACTTGCAGACCTTTGATTAAAGGTTCTAGTTGTTAAGAATAGCTTGCGGTTCAAAGAAGAGAACAGTAGAGTAGATCTCGACATAACACATTTTTTTTTCCCTCTAAGATCTCAACATGTACTTCTGTTCAAAAGTTTGGGGTCAATAAGAAAAAGACAAAAAAGAGAAATATTTTATTCAGATTATTTATCAAATGAAACAGTAAAGACATTTATAATGTCTATAAATGTTTATAATGTACCTGCTTTCAACGTTAGTAATAATAAATCAGCATATTAGAATGATTTGTAATGGCTACTAAAAATTCAGCTTTGCATCACAGGAATAAAATTAATTTTCAAATGTATTAAAATAGAAAACAAGTATTTAAAATAAAAAATATTTTTGATGTAACAAATAAGACGACTTTAATATAAAAAAAAATCTTACAGACCAAACTTTTAAATGGTAGTGTACATATGATGTGAGAGATATTTTCTCAAAATCTTGAAGTAAAGTTTATTTACACATTTTCTTCTTTGTTTGGAAATTAAAAAGAAATATTGCCATTACAATTTCCATTTTTTCTCATTGTCTCTTAGAAAGCAACTTTTGTTATGTCAAGATCATGAAAATGGGAGAAAAAAATAATCCATGCCCTCTTAGGGCTTCTATGGAAACCAAAGCAATTGGACATGCTAAAACCATCAGAGTGTGATGGATATTGTTTTGTTCATTTTAGCTGATAGTTGGGGCGGGGGGTGCCCTATTTCCGGAGTAAATCTCCCACTAAGGAGATCCAAATAGAGAGAAGCCCTCCAAACCTTGAGCTTATTGTGCTGAAGGCTTAAAGAAAAGGAAAGAATGAGGGAAAACACTGAGGGCAAGAAAGAGGAGTTGAATAAGTAACACTGAAGGGGAGGGCACACAATGGAGAACACCGTCTTAAGAGATGGCCAGGGCCATCATGTTGGTTATAATCCTTTTGTGCTGTCTGTAGACCAGTTTGTTAAGTGTGTGTTGTTGGAGAGGTGTGTTTGCATTGTGTGGCTAAAGACTTGTGTTTATATTCAGAAAGAAAGCCAGAACGGGAGCGCCGATCTGGGATAAAATTTCCTGTCCGTTTGCTTGACATCGCTCCTTGTGAACTCAGGACCAACTGATCTGAAAACAGCACTCCCGCTCTGAAAAGCTTTGTGAATATGGCTCCTCATATCATATGTGAACAATTCAAGTAAGAATCCTGATCATGGTTCGTCGTTGACTTTCACTGACCCGGGATCAGTAGTCTTACTATGAGATGCTTGAAACATATGAGCTCTGGTTTTTCGAGTGTCCTACAAAAAGGCTGCTTGAATCTGCTGCTGTATGCTAGCTTGTCCTGGTTTTACTTTACTTCTTTCTCCCCTCCTGGAGGGTGTCTGAAAAGATCCTGTGTTCGTTTCTTTGTTCATTTGCTTGGAATGAGATGGTGTCGCTTCTTTTCCATCTGCATTGTGCATTTGCGTTCATTTCCTCGAATGCAAACAAGGAAAAGATCCCATCTGCCTTGTCTTTCCTACCCTCTCATTCCATTTCTCCATTTTCCTTTCTTGTTTTTCCACCTCTTTTCTTGCTCTCTCTCTCTGCGCCTGAACCAAAATGAAACTTATCCTTCCTGTCAAGTTGTTTTTGTCACATTATGCCAAGTGGCATTATTCAGAGTCAAATAATCTTCCTTTGTACATCTACTAGCATGGCTCGTGTCCTCAGAGACTCAGCTCCTACATGCACTTACACACATCCATCCACACAGCCAGCCAACCAGCCCACACTCCCCAACCTCCCCACCTCAGTCAACCCCAGATGGGCACGCATGGCACATATCTCCCCTCTCCACCTGCTCAAGTGGTCAGGCCTTCATAGTTAGTTGAAAAAGACAACATGTGTACACACATGCACGCTCACTCCGTCTCACACACGCTAACACGCACACTCTGGTCCTCACTGTTATGCTAAACAGCCATTGAAACAGCACCGCTCTTTATCGGGGGCTCCAGGCAACCTGCTCAAATGTTTTCTTGTTACTTTGTCATTTCACTTGTTAAAGATGTCATAACATCCTCCACAATGAGCCATAACACCACATGCTGTTGTTTTAAACCTGCTACACTCACCCTATTTAAAAATGGCATTCAGTTCATTATTTTAAAAAAGACATATAGAGGAGATTATAGTATCGACGACACTAATTAAATGGGTTTAAAAGAACAGCAGCCCCCCCTTTTCACTTGTGCGGTTTTTTTTTACTCTATCCATTTTTGCTGATTTGGAAAAACACATTTGGTGGCAGGAAATTTACAACACAAATATACATAAAAATATTAAAAGAATGAAGAAATAGATTCTGCAGGGGTCACTATAAGTTAATACATGTTAGTCTGTTCATCTGTTCAGGTTTATTCAGACGTGCCAGTGAGATTGAAAAAATTTTGAGTTTCTCCAAAATTTCACTAAAATGTTAATGATTAATAATGAAAGAGCCACATAATTTAGTTTGGATGGAGTTACAATCACTACAAGGGCTGTTTTCTTCATCATTCATGCTGTATTGTGGTTTCTAATTTCCCTTTTGTTTTTGAATCAGCCAGAATATTGCTTTCACTTGTTATTTTTACTCCAGTAGTCAGAATATTCTTGATGGCCTCCTCCCCTTTTACACTTTTTCATTTTTTGATTGTTTTAAGTAATCCGCTTTGAAATGATCTGTTTGGTGGGTGTAGTATAATTGCTTAGTTGTTCTTGGCTGGTTGTCATATTGAAGTATATGTGGCCCACGCTAAGCTTGGGTTAATTGGGGTCAAGGATGCTGATTTCTCACAGACAGAGATGGCACGTTGGCTGGAGTAAGAAGATTATACTTGCTGTTTGACTAATTCAAAATATGGCTTTCATAACAGCGTTTCATAATGCAGAAAAAGCGACCATATGGGATTAACTATGAAAAATGAAAACAACGAAAAATTAATGAAATTTTAGTCCAGTGATAATTAGAAAAGGATGATGTGTCAAATAATACTAGTAATTATTTGGAATTTGAAATTGATCATTTTACTAATAAGATAAGTTTATCACTTTGTTGTTTGAAATAAGACATTTCTGAGGTTTACATTTTGTAGTAAATAAAGATCAATTAATTCAACTATGAATTAAATATAAAAAAACATTCATGTTAATTAATATATTCAGACAAAGTTCTTACCATTTCTTAATTTGAAAAGAAAAAAATATTTCAAAAGTGAATTTTACTTGCAAGCGGCTTGTTGCGACAAATGTCCGCTGTAATATTTATGAGTTCTGTTTTAAGAAGGCCAAATACCAGATACAAGCTGCCTAAGAGCCAAATCATTTGCCAGTGGATGGATAAAGTTTGTTAAGTTCAGGAAAGAGAACCAGAGAGAGGGATAGGAAGGGAGAGGGAGGGGTGGTGGAGAAAATTAATTTATTTCACTCCGCCAGCCTGCCAGTTCTTGAAAGAACAGCTGAGGAGAGCAGGATTAAGGCAGCTGTGCTTAACATGAGGGCTCATCTGTCAGATTGGGGCGGAGCACATAGATCATTGATTAAAAAAAGCCATCTCCAAATCCAGTGCTTCACTGATACCAACGTCCTTTCCCCGGCTCTTCAGTGTGTGTGTGTGTGTGTGTGTGTGTGTGTATGCATGTGTGTCTGAGTGCCAGCAGAGAGACTCAGATACACGGCAGATTACACACGTCAATTATACACTTAATCTGCTTCTGGAAGAGATTGCGGCCTACCCTCATTGATTGATTTGAAGTATTCCCGTTGACCTTGGCAGTTATCAGATTGTCGAGATTGCACTTTATGGTGACTGTTAATGCGGTTTAATCGTTCTGCTGCTGGATACTGCATAGAACACATGAAGGGTTGGAGATACTGGAAAACAAGGCGGGTTTAGACTGAGCTGCTACTTGTGTTGCATTTCACAGACCTGTAATACCACTTCACTGTCCTTGGACACTTAACCACTTTGCAGGTCCAGCTGACCCAAGTGAACAGTTTAATCAACTTTAGCTAGCACACAAACTTAATGCTGTGCATTCTGTGGTCCAAGAAAAACAGAAAGAAAAAAAATGAATCAATGAAAAAAGGTTGTAATAATAAATTTAATTTCTAATTTATTTTTTATTACATTTGTGCATTTTAAAATTTAATTGAATAAAAATTTTTCTTTTGTATTTTTTCTTTTCTTTTGCTTTGCATTTTGTTGTTTTGCAAAAGAACACTTTGATCAACAAACATGCAGAAAACATGTTTTGGAAAAGAAAAGGCAGATTTAATTTCTTAAACATTTTTATCCAATTTAACCCCATCACAACAATTTTGTTATGAAAATGGTTTCTTTATTCTTTATTATGATATC